GTTGCTACAACTTTAAAAGCACAACTGTAATGACGTTAAGTATAGCAAAAATGTAAATGCTTAACGATAACAAAATAAAATGTTGCAGGTTGGAAGCCTCCCCCCACCTGGCACCTTCCAAAGAGACAGAAGAGCAGGTGGGGTGTGTATGTGTCTGAGCTGAGGGGCCTCGGGGAAACTGCCGCTGGCAGAAGCAGAGGCAGAAAGGGGGCTTTGCTCTCTTTGGGAGGCAGCACCCCTTGGCCGCCACTCCAGGGGCTTCTCAGCAGGCATCTGCCTGCAGAAGGACTGCCGCTCTTGGTGATTAATTGGGGGAGGGGAGGGGGAGAAAGTGGGAGCTCCTTTCAGATCCCGGGTGGAGGATTGAGAGGCTCAGATCTGCAGCCGAGGAAAAGCTGGGCGGGGGGTGCTCTTCCAGCGTCACCTGGAGACAGGCAAGGAAAGGTGTCCCTGGGGGCACTTCGCTCACTTTAGCACTTCGCTGCCAAACCCAGCCACAGCCAATGATTAATTGGGGGTGGGGTGGAGAGAGAGAAAGCATCTCTCTCATTACCAGGGGAGGAAAATAGACAAAACAAAGCTCACTCTTTCACTGAGACCTACAAAACGCCAATCTACCGCATTCCAGTTGTTCTTTGAAATCATCAAATGCTCCCACTTGCAGTTCTTGCACCTCTCAGCTCAAGTCCCTGAGATGCACATTCCCACACACAGTGGCAGCGGCAACAACAGTCCCCTCCCCCAGCGACCGCTGTCAGCTCTCCCCATTAGTTTTCTACGTTTGAATTGCTCCCGGCTCTCTCTCTTTTCTCCCCCCCACCCACGTGCAGGCAGGAAAGGAAAGGGAGACGCAGGTGTGCACAGCTCTCCCCTTTTCCAGCCCTTGCTGCCTCTCCCAACATCAAAGCCTAGGAAATGCAGGCAAAGCCGCCACAGCGGTAGCACCCTGAGTTGCTTGCTTCTCCACTACTGCCTCTTCTTCCTCCAGCACCACTTCCTTCTCTGGGTAGGGCGATTCTTAACTAACCAAGCATACTAAGGCAACTCAGGACGCTACCACTGCTGGGGCTTTGCCTGTGTTTCTGAGGCTTCGATGTTGGGAGAGGCAGCAAGGGCTGGACAAGGAGAGAGCTGTGAATGGCTCCATCTTCCTTTCCTTTCCTGCCTGCACGTGGGCGGGGGGAGGAAAGAGAGAGAGCACCAGGAGAAATTCAAAGCTAGAGAACTAATGGGGAAGAGCTGACAGCAGGAGCTGGGGGAGGGGACTGCTGTTGCCGCCGCCGGATGTAGGAGTTGGTTGGCACATGCATCTCAGGGGCCTGACTCCAGGCTCCCTCAGAGAGCCGGGAGGCGCAAGAACTGCGCAGCCCAGATTAATTGCTTTTGGGGGCCATTTCTTCTGCGGCCCACCAAAATTTTTCCACGGCCCACCAGTGGGCCGCGGCCCACCAGTTGGCAAACGCTGTTTTAGAGGGTCCTTGAAGCACTTGGAGGTTTATCTGTGCTTCCTGAAAAAGCACCTTTGGGACAACCATGACCTGGATGACTGAGACTCTCTAGACTCTAAGAGGAAAATGCCTCTATAAACAAAACATCCTAATGGCTGAAGTTGCAGAATCCATTTGCTAAATTTTAAAATGGCAATAAAATTAACACGGTGACTGGAAATCAAATTACAAAATGGCACCGTTACAAGGCTGCATACATGTTTAAGATATACAAGTGAAAGAACTCCAAATCAAAATAATGCTGGTTTACGAGTGACATGTTTAATACAATATTCACTCTTTTTCCGAGTGAAAAAAATAATTTGGATTCCAATCCCAAATCCAATTGTAAGGAAGAAAGCCGAGTCCAACAATAAATAGCCGGTTTTCATAACCTTCATTTTCAATTATTTAAAAGGAATAATTCTACTCTGGTAATACCACTGAAAGAGCTTTCTCTACGCCAGAGCTCATGTAAGTTGGATTTCTGCACTCAGAAATGAAATTATGGAGTTGAGGTTCAGTACACTGAGAGAACATGAGGTTCAGCAAGTCTGAACCAAAGGTTATATTTTTTTAAAAAAATTCTCTTTGCTGTCTTCTCTCTACACTAAATGTCCTCTTAAAACTTGCTAATAGCCATAGGTTTACGGGAGGATAGTAATTCCTTTAAAAGAATCAGATGAAATCACAAGTCTGTTCCAATAGTTGTAAAAATAACATATTCACCGAGGAAATAGAATTCCAATATTATTTAGCCCTACACTTACCATATCCCAGAAATCATTCAGTGGATTAGATTTGTATGTTTCTTCTTCGCCTCCCAAAAGCATGGGCTCCAACATTGGTAGGTACAAATGTGTTCTTTCCCACACCTCCTGATCTGTTCAGGAAATCTGCCAAACGATGGGTCACACATGTTGCCGTGTTACATGCTCTCTTTTCTGCTGTTATGCTGTTGTTGTTGTTGTTTTAAAAAAGAAAAGAAAATAGAGTTAAGATCTTTGATGCCAGCTTCTGAATGCATCGTGCTGCCCACTGTTTAATCCCAGTTTTCCTCAACCTCTTGTTGGCAACATCTCAAGAATGCCAATCTTGGAGGGGGGAAGGGAAGAGCAATTTTATGTTATGATGAACGAAAAGGACTTTTGAGGGCTCCTTGGAGCTCTCTGAGCTTGCTTGTTTTCTTGCAGATGTTTCATTACCCAAACTAGGTAACATCATCAGTGCTAGTGCTAGAAAAAAAAACTTCTACTCCCTTAACGTAACCCAGAATATAGAAAAAATGAACCATTGCACATTCTTCCCCAACCTAGCAAAATCCACAGAACTGTGGGGAGGATAACCTACACTTTTTCTAAGAGTACCCAAAGCCTGATTTACAAGGATCACCATCCTGTAGCATCAGGGTTGGCCAATGCCACTACATATGAGGACTGTTGCCTTCATCTCCTGGGTCTACATTTCCTGATGTAATGCCATTTCTGGATATATAAGCTACTGGGATGGTCTAAATCAAGAGTCTCCAAACTTGGCAACTTTAAGACTTGTGGACTTGTGAATTCTGGGAGTTGAAGTCCACAAGTCTTAAAGTTGCCAAGGTTAGTGTTGTGGGCCGCCAGGGGCTAGCAGAGCTGGCAGCAGACTCGGACAGTGAGGAGGTTGGGGAAGAACATGGACCAGTCCTGGAGGCCGAGGAAGGCTATGACAAGGGCTCTGCATTAGAGGCAGAGATGGGGCCAGGGCAGTCTGGCAGTCATCAGCTGCCTTTGAAGTGGGACAGCAGTGAGGTGTGGAAGCAGCTGGAGCCAGTTCCTAGCCTGGGCATGAACAGAGCTGCCAAAAGAAAAGAACAATAACAAACTAAGGGCTGAGGTGGGAGTGAGGCCACAGGTGAACAGTATATGTCTCCTCCCAAAGGGATTAAAAGAGGAGCAAAAGGGGAGGGGGCTTTTGCAGGAAACAATTCATTCATTCGTTTGTTGCAGCAGTGTGAAGATCTGCCTGTGCATCTCAGACACTCTGTGCCAAGCCCTTCCTTGTCAGCACTGCATTTGAAAATATTTATTTGGTACCTTTCCAGGCTAGATAAGGTCTGTGCTCCTAATTAAACCCTTGAAAGACTGTTTGCCAGGCCTTTGGCTGAATGTGAATGCAAGAAATTCACCTTCATTTAATAAAATGGGTTTTGACAGGACAAAGAGTCAGTTTAGTGCTTTTGGGGGAAGCCTAGGTCACAACAGTTGGAGACCCTTGGTCTAAATGATATACGATATATTCATCTGATATCAGATTGGCCATGGGTGTGATCCAACTTGTTTTTTCTGTTGTTCATCTCTGACAAAAATCAGGCTTTTTACAATAAGTCTCATTGATTTGAATGTTTAACTTAACCTACATTGTTCCCACAAAGAATACAAGTCAATGTTTGAATTACAGGCAATTTTGGATTCTCTTGCACCAAATTATCTTCAGGCTGATAAGTCAATCAAAATAAGTGACGTCTTCAGGAACAAATACATACATAGAAATATAAGATTAAAATTCTTACCTGGAGGAAGTCAAACAGAATAAAACTTTTTGTAACTGAATAACATTGCTCTCATTTGGAAACCAGTTGTTGTGTTTCTACACTTCTGAACAGATTTGTAAAGTTCATACTATCAAACTCAGTGTGAACCTTTTCACTGACTTCATTGTATGAAAGTTATCACTTTACTGATTCATCTAATACTAATCAGACATGTAACTCTTTCAAAATACTCTTAATTAAGCAAAAAAAATTGCAAACATCCATACTGACCTCCTTATAAAACTCATTGCTACAAACCCCACATTTTAAAAATGGTATAATCTGTAATCAGAACATAGACCTATTCCTTATAGAAAAATAGGTTTATTGAACAGTTGCATGAAAGAAACATTTATTTATTTCATTTTTTTTTACAATGAGTAGCCTCAAATAAAAAAAGGATGCTCCTTATTATTCATAAAATAAGAATCCTAAAAAATTAGTTGAAAATTCAAGGCAACGTTTTATTCTGATCTACTTTGAATTTGGCTTCTGCTTTTCCCCAGTTCCCTACAAGTGTTATGTGTGTGCATTTCATCCTTAATTTCCTAACTTGGATTTTGCTCTACTACTCCAAGCACTTCAGATCTAAAAGAACACAGCAAAGTTAGCAGTGAAGGTTAGATCCACATCATGCATCAAGTTAAATAAAAGAAGAAAACGAAAGAGGGGGAAAAAAAATTCAAAGGAAACTGAGCCCATCTAGTTGCTTCCGAGGGCTTCCTCAGTAGTTTGCATAGCGTTCATTTTCCAGCTCACTCAACACATTCCTTTTCTTGCCAGGCGTCCCAGCCCCGACGTCAGTACGAGGGTACGTTTGCAACTTGTGCAATTCTTGAGACAGTTTGCCCAGCACACAAGTGCTCAGGTTGGCACAACGTTTGGAAATGGGTCTATCCAAGCTGCAAAGGGGGAAAAACATGCCGAACAAAGTAACCGAGGGAGGGAGAAAAAGGAGCGCAAGAAAAACACATGCGTAGTAGTCATGCCTTATCCCCCCTCTACCCCCCGTCCCCCCGTTCCCCCCCCCCCCCCCCACAAAAAAAGAACTCCCCCCGAGCCTTTTAACCAACACAAGCCCATCTCAACGCCGTGCCTTGACCCCATGCAATGTCAATCCGAAGAACCGTCGGAGCAGCGGGTAGGGGGCGCCAGTGAGCCATTGCCCAGTCAAGCAAACGAGTTGGCGCGGGGGGGGGCGTTGCGACTGTTAGCAATTCCGGGGTGGGGGGGGGAGGGTATTGCATGCGTCGCTGGGGCTCAACCATTCCTCATGCTTCACCAGGGGAGTTCAGTAGGGAACCGCAGGTGCAGCTGGAAGCCTGGGCTGGTTAGGGAAGGGGGCGCTACTACGTGCAAAGGATCTCTTTCCTTCCTCCAATGTCAAAGGACCTTCTCGCTCTCTGCCGCCTCTCTCTCCTCCCCCCCCCCCCCACCCCCACCCCCACGGGCACTAGGGCGAGGGGAGAAGGATTGAGTCCGGCGGGTTCGGTTCTTAAGAAAATGGGCCGAGAGGGATGGAGGACAAAAGAGAAGGCATCCAAGACCTACCTTCTTGCTCTCCCATGTTGTTGTTTTTAAATCAAAAACCCTCCTCCTCTTTGCACTTCAAAGTCTTTCCTGTGTATGTGGCTGCATAAGTGTGTGTGTATGTGTGTGTATACACAGATGCGTAAGTTGTATACCCATAGTCAATGGCTAAATGGATATTCTTAAGTCAGTTGGGCGAGCAAAACGAGAGGGCAAGCGAAGCCCTCCGCTCGGATCGGCCGCCCCAGGTGGTTGCAAGGCGCCCGGTCGGATCTCGAGGGAGGATATCCTCCCGTCTGCTCCGATGCCCACCAGGAGAGGCGCTGTGCCCCTCCCCCCCTCCCCCCCCAGCTTGGCGTCCGGGAGGGAGACGAGGGGAAGAGGGTTTTGGAAGCTTCTTACCTACTGCCTTCGCTGCCCTGGTCCTGGTCTTCCGCGGTCATCTGGATGTATTCCTTCACCAGGGCGTTGAGTAACCTCCGAGCTTCATAGTCCCCCAGGGCGCCTCGGTCGGTGACCGGTTCGAAGCCCGTTCTGCGTGAAGACAAGCGCCCCCTTGAAAGCGCCGCTTTTGGGGGTGGGGGGAAGCAGCGCTTCTCCTCCCCGCAGGCAGCCTGGGGCGGGTTTTCCAGCCAGCGCCCGCCGGTCATTGCCCCACCCCTCCTCCTCCTCCTCCTCCCTCGGGGTTGGCGTGGAGTGCGACTCGCCTCTCTCCCAAACCAAGGGGTTAGGCAGGCTGGGGGTGGGTGGGTGCTGCCCAATGTATCTGGAGGGGCTTCCGATGGGCGAGCGATCCGCTTTGCTGGCCAGGGGAAGAAAATCACAAGGCGGGCCAACGGATTGGGCTTGGCTTGGCTTGGCTTGGTTTGGCTTGACTTAGCTTGGTTTGGTTTGGCTTGGCTTGGCTTGGCTTGCTCGCTTGCTCATTTGTATGCTTGCGTAATTTCTACGCCGCTTTCTACTTTCGGGTCTCGCCACCCCGGGGAGGCGAGGCAAGTGGCGATGGAGTTGGTGTTTTTGAAATTGAAAAGGAGGAACGGGGAGCACCATAGTGCTCTTAAAAGCTGGTTGGTAATCCGGGCGAATGGTCCCCACGCAGCCAAATCCGCGCCTGCCGAGCGCCCCTAACTCTTCTTCTTTTAGCCCTCTCCTAACTGAGCTCCTTCCCGTCGGAGGACTTTTCTTCGCTTCGCCGCCCCCGCCGGGAGGAAACTTCCAGGCTCTCCTCCCGAGAGCTGCAGGGAAGTCCGCCGTCGGCTGCCTCTTACCTGAGCGGGACTGCCTGGCCGTTCTCCATCTGGCAGGCCACCAAAGCGTAAACGGCGAGGAGCGAGGAGATCTTCAGCACAGCCATGGTCTTATCTCTCTGCAAGGAGAGGAGCCACATTATCTCTCTGCAAGGAGAGGAGCCTCTGCGGCCCTGCCTATTCCCCCCCCCCCCCCATTCCCCGCCGCCTATTTAGGCTGCGATCCCATCGACAAGCATTCCAAATGGCGTAGATAGGATTCCCTTCTGAAGGAGAAAATATATGGCTGGCTGTGGTAAGTCCAAGAAACAGCGACGCATCCTTCCCGGACAAACGTTATGCACAGGACCAGGTTGGCCTAAAGTGGGAATTCTCTGAGGGTAATAAACGACCCGTTAATCATGCGCGTAAAAGAAGTATTTGCAGAGAATTTACCGGCCTTTTAATATCCATTTAGGAATTCTGAGGGCTTCGGCAGCGTTCTAGATGGACTATCCGAACAAGGCCAGAAGCAACTCAGAACATCGGTGCCAAGAGATGAGAACCAAAAATAGAACCTTTCTTAAAGAAAATGAGTCAAAGTGGCGAGATGTATTTACGCTTAAAAGAGAGGCGGCCTCTTTTTTATGTTTCGTTTTGAAGTAAAAATTAAAAAAAACAGCTGAAACAAGTGGACCTCTGAAAACGTGGTAAGGCAATGCTGTAAAATCGGAGTTTGAGTCATTTATATACTGAAAAATAAATATATTACTGGTTTTGTAAAATGCAGGAATAATCGTGCACATAGAATTATAAGCTATTTTTCCACATATGATTTCTTTGTCCTCTTCCCCTTTGGTTTTAAGCATTTCCGTATGTTCAAAAATGTTGAATATATAGCATCTCCATAAATATGAATTTCTTACACTCTTGAATTTCCCTGTCTCCAACCTGTTTTACAGTGCATCCCTGATTCTAAAACCTCTGTATACGCCTGATACACATACACACACAGAGGTTCATCTTAAATTCTTCCTCCTGTAGACTTTTTTTCTTGCAAAGAAGTCTATAAGGAAGTTCCGGATGCTATGAGATATTACTGTCTCGGGACTGGAGGGGATGGAGATAGAAGGATGCTTTAAAAGTTATTTTAAATTAATATATATTACCTTGGTTAGAACAACCTTTAAGATAACCCTTGCTTTAAAAAAAAAACAAGATAAGTCGCACATCGATATTAAATGCATCTTTAAGGAGTTATCTCCAGCAAAATAAAAGCTTTCTTCTTTGCAAAGAAATTTTGTTTAAAATTTGCAGGATGAGTATTTCCTCTTATTCCCTAACATCCTAAAATGCTAATTCTTATTTTTTAAAAAATCCAGAAAGGATTAATTCCATCTATTCCAAAAACTAGACGAAGCCTATCCTTGAAATGTAAAACTGAGGAATGCAGGACACTAGCAGCTCAGGCTGCAACACTCTCTAACAGATCTGGAAGTAAATCATCCTGGACTCAGTAAAGACGTTAAAGAAAGCATGGCCAGGATTTCTGCTGCTGGAGTTGTAGGGCTGTTGTGAAGAGCAGAGCTACCAATAGTAGAGAAGGGCTTACCTTCAAATGCCAGCCTTTCTTAGGGAAGAGTGAAACGTAGTGGAGGTTTCCTCAGAATGATTTTCAGAGTCGTGGCGGTCTTCAATGGTCAACGACCCCCTTTTATACATATCAGCAGGACAAAAATGTGTAGGCGTTCAACGAACACTCACTCGCCAATCAGCATCTCCTTTATCACTATAAAACCAATCCACGACTGACCACAAAACTCCCAACTCCTGAATGACGTCATTCCCAGTCACTGAGTATTCCATTCACAAAAATATTGCCAGTCATTTAGGCACATCCGATAGGTTTATTTGCATTTAGGTCACTGGACGACAGGGGATGGGGGTGGGGGTGGGGGCGGCAGGAAGAGACATAGAAAACGGTTAGTTAAATGTAAGGGAGATCGCCCCAAGTCATTAATAATACTTAGACCTCCCCCATTGTCTTTTACCCCCGCCAAGATCACCCGAATCTTTTTGATGAATAAACTCAAAAGGGCAGGATATTTACTTATTAGAGGCGACATCTACTGCAAAAAGTGTTGCATTGCAGAAAAAAAAAAGACTTCAGTCGGCATAGAGGCTTTCTCAACTTTGCATCTTAGCATTGACCCCAGCAGTACGAGGTGGCGATCAGTCGACAATTCCTTTTTGAACCTTAAATTATTGGTTTTGGAGTCAGAGAGATGCACCGTCTTCTCTCCCACAGAATCGGGGGGAGGGGGCGTGTATTAAATTCACATGCCTTGATAGGTTCCTTTACTATGCTTGTGTAGCCTAAACTTTCTCAAAATGAGTCGGCATTGGAACTAACGGAATTCAATGCCCAGGTAAGGATGCTTAAGGTTCCTGCCATCGTGGGATGGAGGAAAGCAGGGAATGGCTGTTTGGAAGAGCCTGACCAATCTGATCTCCTTCCGATGTGATGACAAACTCCCAACAATTCCAAATTGAACGAGGATGGGAAGCTATATGTCAGAGGTCTCCAAACTTGGCAACTTTAAGACTTGTGGACTTCAACTCCCAGAATTGCTGGCTGGAGAATTCTGGGAGTTGAAGTCCACAACTCTTCAAGTAGCCAAGTTTGGGCACCGCTGCTCCATGTGAAAGCCCTGGGCTGGGAAAAGGTGGTTTGCGAGGAGAGTTGCTGAAGGAGTCGGTTCTGCCTGGCAGGTGGTCCCTTCTCCAATTCCGAAATCTAACCATCCTTTCTTTTCTTTTAAGGCAGGCTAGCCAGTCAGCAACTCCTTGGAAACATGAAAGGTTTCAGCGAGGACTGTTCGAGTTAAGGAGACGAAGGCTCGGGCTGCCTGGACATATTTCATTTGCTAACAACTGGATTTTGGAGGCAGTGCAAAAGGCTGGGTCGCCTGAGAACTTCCGCTCTTGGACCTAGAGATGGTCAGTCCCTTGCAAAGCGTGCGCGGATAGGTGGGAGCGGCTTAATTTCAGCTCAGTGGAATTGCCCGCTCCTCGTTTAACCCCTTGCCGCAGAGAAAGCAGCGCCTTCTTAGTTAGCCTCTTCAGCTGACCTTCTGTGCAAACGCATCCAAGCACCAAACGTGGAAAATCGGAGGTCGCTGATTTTCGTAATCCCGTTCAGCCAAGCCCTTCGGAGGACCTGGGTTCAAATCTACTAACATCCAAGAGCTTTCAGCCTCCAAGGGCATCCCTCCCCCCACCCCAGCACCCGTCAGATCGGGAGACCGGGACACGCCGGGAAGACAACATGGGACAAATGAATGAACGACTTCTTTCCTGCCAGTATTTATTTCTTTGAGACCCGGCGACAACCAAACGGCAACCGGGGGAGTGGGGACGGGACGAGGAGGTGAAAAGCAAAAGCAATCTCCCCAAGTAGGTGCCCTCAAGATATAGCGGACTTAATTGCCCCCAGCCCCCCCCCCCCCCAAAAAAAGTTTCCAATCCTTATGGCCAAGGGAATTACGCAAAGAATCCAAAGTAGTATTAATAGGAGTATTAATTGCTTCAACGATTGATTGGATTTTGATTTTGGTAAGTCGCCTAACGCAAAAATAAAGTATCTGAAACGTGCCGGTTTGGGGGAAGTCTACTGTAACCCCTTTGAAGAAAAGCCCCGATGTGTCTTGCTAAGTCTTCACCAAGTGCCCCAAAGCCAGGATCCCGATTCCTTTCTAGCAAGGCTGATTTTGGGACCCATCCTTGCTTTGGAAGGGAAGCTATTCAGCATGTTCTAATTTTTGGAAAGGCTTCTCTGGAGGAGGAGAGGGGAGATGAGGTTGGGGAGAAAGAGAAAGAAGACCCATTCGCAATCGATCGCAACCGATCCAACGAGATAGCCTCAAGCCCGCCGTTTGATGATGGAGGGCAAAACGGAGAGAGAAGCTATCTTCTTCCTAGCTGGGAAAGTGGCCTAAGGAGGTTCCGCAGGAGATTGATTGGGGGCTTTCCCCGTCCCACCTGTCTAAAGCTCTGGAATTGGGAGAGGCTGGACAGTCACGGCTGCGTGTCTGGGATTGAGTGTAATTCACTTCTCGGTGCCAAGCGCCACGGCTGAACCGATTATCTTAATGGGGAATTGCATTGGCAAGGGCTGGGCTGGGCTGGGCTGGGCAGCAGCATTCGCTCGCTCTTCCTCTCTCTCGCTCTTGGAGGCTCTGCTACAGGAGTCCCGGGCTGGTTTTCCCCTGCCCTCCGGCCGGCCCCTCCCAATCTGCCCCCCCCCGCTCCCTTTTGTTCCTGGGTTGAAGTGGTCACGTTCTACCCGGCAGATCTCCAGCTGCTTCGCTATAAGCCCCTGGCATTCGGGGCGAAAAGAACGATATCCGCCGAGGTGGAAAAAAACCTCTCGTGGAGAGCTACAAGGGCCCAATCCATCACTCTTTTAAAGGACTCTTAGTCATTGTCTAGCAGCTGCGGAGTCGTGTCTGGCGCTCGGACACCTGCTCCATCCAGGATGTTTGGATTTGCTATCTGCACTAGTCATATAAGAAAGTACCTTCGGGCTCCCGCCAGGACCAAAAAATAAATAAATAAGTAAATAAAATGAGGGAGATTGATGAAAGATAGAAGAACTTTGGGAAGGTGGGCACTTCTCCGAGAAGTATTGACTCAGGAAATTGCTGTTTCGCGTGTAAGCTGGTGTCCGTGCTTACAATACAAGCGCGCCCTGTTCTTTTCCCCTACCTGCCCAACCCAAGGAACGGTGTTTATTTTCTCCCTCTTGAATGAAGCGGAGTTTAGGCGCCTTCCTTTCTTCGCCAGGAATATGAAAACTCTGGCCGTTCCCCTGGAAGGAAGGTGAGATGGCTGGTGCAAGACTAAAAGGGTGTACGCTAGCGCTCTCTCTCCCTCTCTCTCTCTCTCTCTCTCTCTCTCTCTCTCTCTCTCTCTCTCTCTCTCTTTCTTTCTTTCTTTCTTTTTTTTAAACAATTACCCTGGCAAGAGTGCGTCAAAATCTCCACCAGTTTCTAAGACTGTAAGTCCGGCTTCCTGTCCCACTGAGCAGAGGAGAAACCTGAGGAGCGGGAAGGTGATGGCTATGGTGTGTGTTTGTGTGTTTGTGTGTGTGTAGAGTTTAGACAAAACTAGGCAGGAAGAAAATCAACTTCTTTGCTT